GTTTTTGAGCATACTGCTGCTTGCCTTCTTGGAGCTTCTCAGAGCCTCCCGGGCCAATCGAAATCGGCGGTAAAATCCAGGGATTCCAACGCCCGTCCGCCATATTCTGGTGGTCACGCCAAGGGGCAGCGGACACCATCTTAGGAAATGCTGTTTCACAACTCCCTGCTTGGCTGGCTGCGTCTGGAACATGAGAAGATTGACTGTCAACTAAGCACCGCAGGATTTCCCCCGTAATCGGGTAAAACACAACTCAACCTGAAAGCAAGAAACGACCCCCAAGAGACAAACCGTGGGGCCCATTGCAAGCCTCCCGCTTGCGCGAGGTTCTCTCGCTCACACTGCTTGTTTACTACTGAGATTGTCGGCCGGAAAAAAAAGGATACGGAGCCCAGAAACTCGGGAAATGGGTTTGCTGCAGTGTAATCCTCCTGTGGCAAGAAGCAGCCCAGGCAAAGCCGATTGCCTGATCCGCCGAGCGCGTTGATTGGATCCCTTTTGCAAATATGTGTCCCTTGTGAGGATGCCCCTTTGGGGGACTGTCTCAACTGGGGAATCATGTGGGGTCCTCCTCCATAAATCATAGAAACCAGCTACAGGAAACTAGCCAAATTCCCACCAAAATCAGGGGTGTCCTGTAGAACTTCCCGTAGTTGGTTTCTTAGAATAAACCCAATTATTGAAGCAAATATGAACTCCGAATGAGCGTTGCAATGCGCCACGAGGCCCCTTGCCCAGCAACTGAAGTAAGAAAGCCAAGCGGCTGAAATGGACAACACGCGACCAAATTCAAGACAAAAGGGGCTCAGGAGCCGATGGACAAATGTAGAAATTCACTTGTTCGTGCGGTCCAACCGTATTTGTTGAAACAGAAAAGGGTCAAGAGACACACCCAGAGGAGGTGAGTGGGCCAGCGGAGCACAAAGTACCTGAAACTGGGGAGGCCGAGAGCGTCCGCCGGGCATCTTCCAGAAAAAAAACAAAACAAAAACAGCCCCTCGCGCGGACCCTCTCCAACTGTTGGCGGAGAGAGGGAGGGCACAAGCTGCCAAGCTGCGGCTTGGGGTTTTCGCCTTTGCAGCTTTGCCCGCTGTCAAGTGCAAATGGCGCTTGGTGTCCCTTTTCTTGCCCTCAGGGAAGCCTGGCTCGAAGTAAGCTCAAGGCCAAGCAACCCTCAAACAATCCTCAAATAAAGCTCGGCTGGTACATCCCTTGGCTCCTTTTTGTGTCGGGGTTCCAACGCGGGCTGCAACTTGGCTTCTATTCAGCCAGAACGTCTTTCCGCCTGCACCGCCTTTCCGCCTCTCTAGAAGCTCCTTTTCGCACTTTGGCCGGAGCCAAGCAAAGCGAACCCCCCCCTCCCCAGTGCCATGGTCAAATCTCTTTGGGTCATGGGTCCCAAAAACCAGGAACCCTTCCAGTTCTCATTTTCTGAGCCGGTCCATCACCATCTCAACGAACTAACCCCAAAAGGTGTTTCGACCGTGGCACATGCGGCTGCCTTTGACCGCCGAGCGAGGTTGTTGGAAATCTCCGACTGCACAACGGAGCTCTGTCCAAACGTGCCAACGACCGGTCGTAACAAAAAGTGTGCTGTGAAATGGCAGCCACCCACCAAAACATGAACAGAACCAAACAATTGAAACTCGTCTTGAGGGAAAGGGACCGTAGACGGCGTTCTACCTAAATTGGGGCGCCAAGAGGCTAAACCCTTGCTCAACATCCTGCAACCCCTCGTCAACTCAAGTCTTTGTTACCAAAATGCTGGGGGTTCCTTGTGGCTTCTAGCCTTTCCCCTGAGGTGCGTCACCTTTTTAAGGAACCAGCCCCCCAAACAGCGCGAAACGGTGCTCCTTTTGGCTTCCCCTTGTTCGCTCCGAAGGGCAAAGAGGCAGCGCGTTGAGGGACCCGAACTCGCGCAGGATCACCGGCCCGTAACCCGCCTCGGAGGTGTACTCGGAACGGTCAATACCATCCTTTCTTCAGAACCCCTTCCCCCCCTCACAAAAAAAGAAAGAAAGAAAAAACGAAAGGACTTGTGGGCATTTGGCCTTGAGACGCTTTCACCAGGCTTGAAGCACCTGGCTGATCCCAAGGCTGGGCCTTGTCCAACTTCTTCGGTGATTTGAGCATCCGAAAACCCTCGGAGCTTCCCGTGCCTCGAGGTCGGAGTAAAGAGAAAGATGCGCCGATTTTGTTGGGCGGGGCGATGTGGCATGGGTCAAATGCCAAATCGTACCCCCAGCGAACATCCCAATCCAACCACTAAAATAGACTAAAATGGGTGGTGCACCCACCCCAAAATGGCACCATTGGTTTTGACCCACAGCCATTTGGTGGTTGACCCATTGCGAACATCCAAGGATGTTCGTGTCACGTGACTGCCAAGATGGTTGCGTTGCTGGAGATGAGCGGTTCCTGCTGTTTCAGTTCTCGGGAAGCCAGAAAAGCCAAAAAGACCACTTGTTAAGTAGCCTGGGAAACGGCGTTTGTATCCGGAAAACCACAGTTGTTGACAAACCAAATCATTGATTCCACAAGCGCCAGGAAAAGACATGCCATGGTTGCGCGCTTCTGGCCCATTTGGGAAACGGATGCTCAACCTGCGAATAGCATCATCCCCTGCAGGAAAGTCACCTCACGTATTGGGAACCACAAGGCGGTGGTATAACACCCAGAATCGGACTTTAAAACAAGGACATCCTGTCCGGCAAACCTTTCGGCAGGGGAATGACGATCGCCTAAGCCGACCTATAGAATGCAACTTCTTGGCACCGAAGGGGGCCTCTTGCCCTCGAACTGCTGGAAACCCTGACCCCTTGGCCTGAGGCAAACGGAAGACTTGATCAGATTGGGCCGCGACTATCGAGGCTTGGAATCATGGGGTCGAATCATGTTTCCCGTTTCCGCGCTTCAGGTTGAGTGACGGCCAAACATCCAGAGGTGGGGTAGTTGCGCTTAAAAAGCCGAGCTCGCCCGGGCATGATGAAGTTCCTTACTTAAAAAATCCTTGGCGGAAATATGTAGGGTTCGTTCAGATATCCAATGATGTGTCGTTTGGAAGTGACATGGGGGACTCACTGAGGTTCCCTCACAAAGACCAGGATTCGACAAATGTTCCCATAGAGGCATAGCAATTTTTGAGCGTGGCCGATGCTGCTCTGTTCCCTTCGAGTTTGCCCTTTAGCTGTCCACTCCTTGCAAGTGGGCCCAAGAAAGCGAACAGAACCAAAAAACGAAAGGCTAAAGACTAGAAAACCCGGAAACAAAAACAAAAGACTACATTTGGGTGAAAGTAGATGACGTAATTCCCGCATTTTGGCCAAAAAGACGTCACTTACCCGGAGAATTGCTATTGTCATCCACTTCTACCCTGGCAGAAACTTGAATTTGTGAAGTTCAACTAAACCCATCCTGTGAAGGGACAAACTCCGCGACAGCACCAACTGAGGTTGGTGGTCAGCCAACCAGTATTCAAGTCGGGATTCATCCATCCTAACAGGTGCGAAGTGGATTTTGGCCACTGTATGTTCTTGTTTAGGGGTGGTGTCTCATTTCCCTCTACAAAAGCAGGGGGTCAAGTCCCCAAACCACCAATCACCGCCAAAACGAACCGTTCCCCTGACCTAAACTCCAACATTCCACCCAGCCAAAAGAGGACCAACCAAAAAAAACCGCCTTGCGGCCGCCGTGAAAAACCCCGCCCAAGAACCCCACCCAAAAACCCCCATGGCTGAACTCCCCCCCCCCGATCCGAGAGCTTCCAATCCGACGGCCAATCGAGGTGCGAGGCTGCCCCGGCCGCCGTCCAGCTCGCTGAGCCAGCGCCTCACCTCCTCCTCGTCGTCCGGGAAGCTGGCGGCGCTCGGCCGCTCAAGGGACACGGAGAAGAAAAATCCCGAGGGAAAAACGGCAGTTGAAAGAAAGCCCGTGAACGCGAGGCGAGTCATGCTGGGAGATTTTTTTTTCTTTTTTTTTGGGGGGGGTCCTCAGCTTTGGTGGAAGAAAAGAGAGCGTGAAACGCATTGAGAGCATAGGAGTACACACTTCGAAATGTTGTTGAGCCCGTTGCGTTGTTCGTTGCTCACAGCACGCCGGATTGTTCGGGGCGGCCCAAAAATCGGCTTCACGGAAACAACAACGGAATTTTGGCGAGTTGTTTGGCCGGGAAGCGGCTCCAGCCTCCTAAAGGCAATCGAAATCTTCGGGGAAAAGCAGATATGGGTGTGGCTCAAAATTAAACAGGAGGGGTTACGCAGGCTTTGGCCCATTTTTCCACTTACCAGGGCAACCCATTTTGGAATTCCGGTTTTTTGAGCCAAAGCCATATGGGAAGGATTTGTTCCTTTGGTGAATTCTTTGGTGGGCGTCATTTTTACGTGTTTACATGAAGAGCTATGTCCGCCTACTTCTTCTGATGGAGCTCCGACAAGTCAGACTTACTTGGTTGCGAAATCTGCGAAGCTCCGCCAAACGTTTTTTAACTTTGAGCGGTTTAACTTTTAGTGGCTTAATGGAAAACAAGTTGGCAAGAACCCATGAGTTGGCAAAAACCCATGGTTTAATACGGAAAACCCATGGTTTAATACGGAAAACCCAAAATCGTTGGCGAAAAGTTGAAGTCCTAACATCCCTTGGCAAAATGCACCAAGGCCTAGGGCAAGCAAACCCCCCGTGAATGATTCGATTCGCCAACCTGGAAATGGAGGGGCGCGAAGCCGAGAAAAAGACTACCGATTGCAAGCATTCCGACCCTCACGGGCTGCGGGGTCGCAACTTCATTTCCAACCGGAAATGGAAGCCCCCTGGCAGCCATAGGTGTCCTTTTAGGGGACATAGATGGATTTTTCTTGGTAGATAAGCCAGGAATCGCCATCTATTTTTCTACCAAAACAACCAAAAAGGACACCCATGCTGGCAGCCCATCACCTTTTGGACGACCCCCTTTTCAGGTTCCATCTTCATTCGCCGGTTCGTGAACGCTCGGTGCTTTCTCCCCCAAAAGAAGAGAACCCGAAATTTCAAAAGGCCAAGCTTTTCAAGCCCAGGCCATGCACTGAGACCTGTTCTGAAGAGATCTTCACCGGGATTTATTCCCGAATCCCAAACTTGGCCCCGGTGTCGATTGTGGATGGTTGCGAAATCCGTTTCGCGCCGCATAGGGAACCCCGAGGGAATGATGTCGTGATGTTCCTGTAAATACCAACAATGGTTTCAATCAGCGTTTCCAATTGTGGTGCGAACGCATTTCGTGATCCACAGTATATGGGGTTGGTGTCTCACATTCAGGGGATCCCTGGGTTGAAGGTGTCCTCCGTTCCTTTTGGGCATTTTTCCAACACCACAAGAAAGGACACACCCATGTAGTTCTGTTTCCGGACAAACTTTCCCAAGATCCTCCGCTCTCGCCCCCCAAAACAACACAAACAACCACATTCTGGGGGTCGTTCTCGCGGGTCAAATGGTCAAACCTTGCGCTTTTTGGCATAGCTAACGTGCAAATCTTGTCCAGCAGTTGCCCAAGGGCAATGATTCTAATTTCAGCCCAAACTTCTCTCTTGGCCAGTTGCCCCAAGATGCGGATTCACTGGTGGAGCGTGCTTCTTGTGGATTCCTTTTAGTGTGGATTTCTCTCGGAAAAGCAAAATCCAGCAAAAAATGTGATTTGGTCCCCAAACCAATTTCGAGCATATCGGTTCCCAGGTTCCGAGCCAAAACACCCACGCCAAAACCATGCGCAGCGGAACTTCACGAACCTTGCCCCTTGCCCCTCTACCCCAAACCCTGAACCCCGAATCCCACAAAACACACACACACACACCCACACCCACACCCACACCCACACCCACACCCGCACCCACACCCACGCCCACGCACACCCACACCCACACCCACACCCACGCCCACGCCCACGCACACCCCACACCCACACCCACACCCACACCCACGCCCACACCCACACCCACACCCACACCCACACCCACACCCACACGCATGCACACACGCACCAACACACGCACACACACACACACACACACACACACACACACACACACACACACACACAACACACACACACACACACACACACACACACACACACACACACACACACACACACAACACACACACACACACAACACACAACCACACACACACACACACACACACACACACACACACACACACACACACACACACACACACACACACACACACACGCACACGCACACGCACACGCACACGCACACGCACACGCACACGCACACGCACACGCACACGCACACGCACACGCACACGCACACGCACACGCACACGCACACGCACACGCACACGCACACGCACACGCACACGCACACGCACACGCACACGCACACGCACACGCACACGCACACGCACACGCACACGCACACGCACACGCACACGCACACGCACACGCACACGCACACGCACACGCACACGCACAGGCACACAGGCACACAGGCACACACGCATACTCAACCCTCAACCCCAAACCCCAAACCCCAAACCCCAAACCCCAAACCCCAAACCCCAAACCCCAAACCCCAAGCCCAAACCCCACCCACCACCTTCAAACCCCAAGCCCAGCCTGCCCGGCACCTCCGCCCTCGCCGCCGGCGCCGCCTTGGGCGGCGTTCGCGGCTGAGCCGCCCCGGTCGCCGCGCTGGGCGGCTGCGGGGCGCTCTTCGGCCGCGTCTCCGGGGCCTCGGGGTCTTGGGCTCTGCCCCAGACCCCCGGCGGGGAGGCCGAAGACGAGCTCCGGCTCCGGCTCCGGCTCCGCGCCTCGAAAAGTCAGAGAGAGAGAGAGAGAGAGAGAGCGAGAGAGAGAGCTGGGAGAAGGCAGTGAGCATAGAGATATTTACATAAATGTAAAGGAAAAATACTGTGGGTTGGGTTTTGATTCTTAAAATCTGATGTGGAGCACAAGGAGAAAGGCAAAGATGGAAACGCAAACAAACATTGTTGGATGCAAGTGGCAACAGCAAGGTACTGGGTCGTTCGACTCAGACGTTCCAACCCGAACCTAGCACCCCTTTGGAAACCAACACCATGTTGAGGAATTTGTACTGCTCAGACTATCCCAAGGGAAACCCACCATGTTCCCATCCGCGGGAACATGGTCCAAACTCCGCAGCCTGCAGCCTGGTATGGAGAAGTGCTAAAGAGAACCGTAAAGGGAGGTTCCCACCCAGCATGATCGGGCCCGCCCTTTTTCGTGGGTGCCCGGTGAAACCACCCCTTGTGGGGGGGTTCCCAAGTGGGGCTGGCAAATTGTAATTTGGGAAGCAAGGAAGCCAAACGCCCATGTTGCAGTCTTCCCTAGCCTGGACAAAAATTCCTTGCAAGCCTTCAATGTACAGCACAGATCAACATGCGATCCGCAACATCGCCGGGCGCCTCTCTCCGGGTCGCCTCTCTCCGGGACCGCGACCGCCGCCGCGACCGCGACCGCGACGCCCGCGACCTCGACGCCCGCCGCCGCCGCCGCCGCTTGTGGTGCCGGTGCCGCCGCGAGTGCGAGCGCCGCCGGCGCTGGCTGGTCGCTGGCAGCAGCAGCCTGGCAAAGACATCGGCACAAGCATAGGTGTCCTTTTGGCAAAACAGATGGTTTCCCTGGCAAATGGAAATAACACAATCTAGATCAGTCTAAACTAAAAAGGACACCCATGTGCACAAGTTGAATGGGTCCAACCAATTCTAAAACAAACTGCAGCTCCAAAGACCCTTTCCGAAAAGAGTGGTCCAAAGAAAACCAGAAGCCAACTTGAACTTGTTCTTCCCTTGGGGGCGTGGTTGTGCATCTTCCCCCCTCTATCTACCCCCCCCAAGAAAGTCAGCTGGGGTTCTCCAAAACGTGGGAGTTGGTTGGAGCAGTCCGAAGGAAAAAACAGATCCCCTTTTCCCGCCATGTCCCACCCCTCGTTCAAGGTAGACCCGGGTTTTTCAGTTGGACATTTAAATCGACCCAGTGGGTACACTGCAAGGCCACTTTGGGCTGGCAGCGGCTGCCAGGCCAAAACCTGCAAGAAGTTCCCCCCCCCCCCCCCGAGGCCCCCCCCTCGGTACATCTTCCATGCTGTGCTCGCTCGCTCGTCTTTTCGGCGCCTCAGGACCACGGCCACCGGCTCGTCCTTCCTCTGCAACTGCGCCAACAGCGCCTGGTGCCTCAGCGGCCGCTCGCTCATTCACTGAGTCACCTAAGCGAAGAAAAAACAAACTGGGAAATTCAAAGCATCGTAATCCCAGAACCATGCTTCAATAATTTTAGAAGGCGGAGATTCGAAGCTATTTATGGTCAGAATTGTCCCTTACTAAGCTTCATCTACCCGGGTTTTGATTGTGGCTCAAGTGAGGAGCGATCCCAAGGGACGTGTCTGGCCACGCGGTTTTTTGAGAGATATGGCATGGTATTTCTGAAAACCCATGTACCTTAGAAAAGAAGGCAACCAACATGTGGTCTTCATGTTCCTTCATGTTCTCCTGAACATTGCCCTCAAAATATTTGTGTTCATTTGGCCCGCAACGGGTCCCTGTTGCAAAGGCCCATTGTTTGACCTTGTGTGGGCCCAGAAAAGTGGTTTGAAGGGAAACCGCCTGGTGGTTTCAAGGGAAACTGCCCCCAGGAGTCAAGATTTTCAACACAGGGAAAGCCTGCTCCACATGTTCACTTCAATGACCCCACACCAACGCCGCATGCATGTGCTTGCAGAGCTGACACACATGCGATAAACAAAGGTCAGGGTATGCAACGGAGGGTGTTGGAAGGCAAAGGGTAGTGGCTTCAGACAAAGCTGTGGCTAAGCGGTATGCGTGTATGTGTGTCGTGTGCGGTGTTCCGCTCTTCCGTTTACCTTCCGCAGTCAGAACCTAAGAAATCTGCACAAAACGTCGAGACTTTGAGCGGCTCCCTTGCAAGATGGGAATCAAGAGACGCAAAGGGATCCGCTGCCCAGGGAATATCCTTCCCGTTTCACCCCGAAGGGTTTTGGGCATCGGCCGATTCCTTACTTTCCAACCCAATGAAAAACAAAAAAAAAACATGGAAGAAACACGCGAGGGAAAAGACAAGAGGGGATTTGCAGAAACACAAAGCTACAAATCAAAAGGAAAGATATCATGAGGACTAAATATCAGAACGTGAGTGAAACGGAAGAAACCAAGTGAACCATTGAACAACATGCGCAGAACAAGCAGGAAAAAGGGGGCGAAGCCCACTTGGCAAGCCCCGGTTTGCCCTCGGGCCCCGCACACGTTGTCCGCTTGCTCCAGCGCTTGCACCACTTGGCCTGGGCCAAGTGGAAGTGCGTGCTGCTTAAAACTCTGACTCGGTGGCTGAAGAACATGTACCCAAAATGGCCCCTAGGCAAATGGAAACAAAGACCAACACCTGCGCAACTTTAGCTCTTAACTTTTGAGCCACACCCACTCCGTGGCCAGTTTAGAAGTAACAACCCTTGTGGTGAAAGTTCCTTGGACCTTCCCGGCTGAGCACAGCTTTTCTAGTGGGAGAAATGCATGAACCCATGTGACCCATGTGGTTCTGAATTCCCATTTGGGGGGATTGAGGGTCCAACCCCTGTTGAAGAAGTTCCCTGTGAAAATTCGTCGCGTGGTCAAAGCTCCGCATGTCATGAAGAGAGACTCTTGCAATGATCTAAGATACTCATTAAGTGCCCGGCAACCCCAAAGTAAATCAAACCAACCTTCACAAGGATTCCAAGCCTCCAAAAACGCACACCCATACTTTTATGATATGCAGGCGATACGTCAAATCAGCGCAAAAGGCACATGGATGTGAATTTGAATCGTATTCGCCCTTTGGTGGACTTCCTTTAGGTGGGGATTCCTGTCCACCACATTTCTGGGCTGCCCGATTTCTGATCCGCTAAAAGTGGCTAACTCTGAGTGGGTTAAACGGAAACTACCACTAAACACTGAAAGGCTAAAAAGCTAAGTTGAACCGGATGGCTGGCTTCGCCAAGATTTGAGGTGGTTCCCTCCGAAAATTCCTGGCCACATCAAGCAGCTTCGCCGGCAGGTTCCCCAGTCCGAGCGACGCTCGTGCATGAAGGATTCCAGCTTCTGCAGCATCTGGAGGCCAGTTTCAGCCTGCAAAGGCTCTTGCAGGCGGTTGCATCGTCTTTGGTTCAAAAGATCGGAGGACCCCAACTATGATAATATATAGGGGCGCTGAAGATATGGGTTTGTCACTCTTTTTGAGGGTCCCAGTTTTGTGTTTGCTTAGGAATGTGAATCCCAGCTGAAACATCCTCAATCTATGAGAAAACTTGGGTGTCATCCTCAACCAAAGTTGTTCCGCCAAGGGCATCTGTGTGACAGAATCCTGACAATTGTGCAAAAATACACCTAGCCTTGTGATACCAAAGTGGGGTTGCCATCCCCGCCTTGTCCCCTCAGTACTCTGATCCTCAACAGGTCTCCCGGCACTTCCCCTGAACCGTCAAATAGGGAGCTCACCAAAATTGGTCTTTGAAACGCACGGCCTGGTGCTTTTCCAGCGTTCCCTTCCGGGCACCTATGATTGGGCCAAACCCCTCGCGGCGCTCAAGCGGTGCCGTGGTTTGAAGCACACGCTTGGATCGAAATCTGCTTCTGAACGACGAAGCTATCCCTTTCATCCCTTTCCGAAAGACCTTTTGAGGGCCTTCGGGATCAAAAACCAGCCAAGAAGCTCCCCTTCCGATGGACATGGTGCTTTTGTTGCTCTCGATTGAAAGGAACCGAAATGAAACAGGAAGGAAACCCGGGCCCTCTTCATTTCTACCCAGCTGGAGACAAGCCCACAGGGCGCACACCCCGAAATCCCGCACTTCGCGCGGATTTATTCTGCAGCTTGGCGTTGTCTCTGTCAAACAAAAAACGAGAGCCCCCAAATCAGCTCCAGTCGCACTTTCCAATCCCCTTCACCAAAACCAAGACGCCAAACCTGAACCCCGGCGAAGCTCAACAGAACCACCCCCGCCGCGTTGTTCGCCGCTTCTCCCCGCAAACCAAAAAATAAACTCCTCGACTCCACTTCCAGAGCCCCCGAAACTTCCCCCGGATGTCCAATCCCCGGAGATCGATCGAGATCCATCGGCTCCGAGGCCTCCTGGCAAAGGCCATGAGTCTTGCAGAACTTCTTCAAATACCGCTGCACCCCGGGCTCGATCCTGCGCAAGTCGGTTTTTGTCTGGGACCCCCGAAGTCGAGAGTCGAGTCACCCGGAGCTCGAAGTTTCTAACCCGGGCGAGCTCGAAGCCGAGCTGTTTTTCGGGAACCGAAGATTGCGGAAGCGGGGGGAGTCGGCCACCCAAAGATGAGGGGACCGACCAAGACTTGGCTTTTTCTTTTTCGATATCCTTTTGCCACCAGGGCCAAGCTTGGCAGCGAGGTTTTCAAGCTTCGCAAAGAACGCCTCCTGCTTCTTTGGTTTGGTCGGGCACTGTTTGGCTTGTGGCTGGAAAACCATAAAAGAGCAAAGACCCGGAAATGAAGGGTACTCCTTTTGGGTCGCCATTCAAGATGTGCCTCTTGAACAAGAGGAGGGACTGATTGGAATGGAAAGGAAATCAACACCACTTTCCCTCTAGAAAACCGTTGCCGACGCCGAAGCCATTTACTCACCCACCCACCCACAAAACCACCCACCCAACCACCCACCCACCCACCCACCCACCCCACCCACCCACCCCACCCACCTCACCACCCGACCCCCACCCCACCTCAGCGAATTGATCCGCCGGTTCTGGAAGATCCTTGGCTGAGCAGATGCGGCGCGTAGCAAGCACATGCGAAGCTCATGGAAAGGCCACTGGGGAAATGGTCGCAGAATCGCCCAGGCGATTTGTCCGACTTGAGACTCATGACATGGAGTGGAAAGAAGCGAGGTGTGCTTCAAAACCGAGCCGCAACCGGCAAAGTATGAAACCCCCGAGCCCGCCAAAAGATCCCCTGGATGCCCAAACATTGTCCAACCGCAGGAAGTAAGCTGACGCGAGTCATGATCAAAACCTGGCATTCAAATGGTCTACCCAGAACCATTTTAAAAAAATGAGTTCACGAGGCGGCCGCACCCATTAATCTCCAATTACCCAGGTGTTGATTGTGACTCACATGCAAGCTAGATATCCGAACTCCTAAGCTGACTCGTATATTGCCCGTTCCTTGGGGGGGGACCCGTTCAGTGCCTTGGTGCCCTTGTGTCAGTTTGCGTGGGGAAATGGAACGATGTGGCTCGAATTTGTGTGGGGGACCCAAAAAATGGATGGTTCCCTGTTGTTCTCCCCTTCAACCAAAAAAACGAAGAAAGGTCCAGGAATTCCAGGCGTCCCCCCCAAACTTTTCGGAGCCAAAGCCACGGCCTTAGCGGGGACCCAGAAGACGGATCATGGAAGCCACATCAAGACTTGGTTTTCAGCGAATGAGAAATGGAACGACCCCAAGCCACGTTCATGGCCAAAGAAAAAAGAAAGAAGAGAAGAAGAAGAAGTGAACACCCCCCGCATCTCTCTTCGGGCAAGAAAAACAGCTTGAGCAACTGGAAGCGCTCGGCGGCACCTCTCGCCGGGCGGCAAAGCTTCCTCCCGGGTCTTCGGGGGCCACAGCGGGGTCCGCGACAAAGGCCTCGGGTTACCGAGACCCAAGCTTCGGACGAAAAAAGCGCCGCGGGCGGTCGGTTTTTATGTCTTCTTGCACTGAGCATTTATGCACGCCTTTGCTGGGTTTGGTGATGATCGGTTGTGATCATAGGTGTCCTTTTCGGAAAATTTTGAATTGATGGGGTAAACCAAACATAAAACCAGAGCCCAATTGAACCGATCAAAAGGACACCTCTGCACATCCCAGTGCCAGATTTCAGAAATGGAAGTGAACCAATCTGGGGGACCCGCTTAGCTGTCCAGATCTCTCTGATCATGACATAACTTGGACTTGAAGTCCTCAACTCCATTCCAATTGTTCAGGCCCTTAGAAAGTTGGGCCGGGGACCCACTCCTGCTTTCGTTTCAACGTTCCGAAGACGGCGCCAAACCAAGTCTCGACTCAAATGCGCTTTGGTCATCCCCGGCTGAAGCTCATGTTATGCGCGTCTTCCTGAAGGTACCCTTGTTGGGATGGTAAAGGGAAACCAAAAGGAAAGCCAACCAATAGGAAGCGGCAAGTAGAAGACAAACCAAAGAAAGTTGGGATAGTGGGGAACCAAGAATATCTCGCCGCCGCCGGCCCTGATTCCTGCAAGAAACCTGAGGATGCCTGTTTAACATAGCTGTGATCAAAACGTGAAGCAAGTGCGAACATGGAGCTTTGGGGTGCCGTATGTCCTCCCCCCCCCAAAAAAAAAAAAAGAAGGGCTAATTACGATGGCCAACGAAAGGAAGCACAAAGACCTCCCGAAATTTGAGACGCCCCGACATAGGCCTATTCAGAAATAAATGGTGCAGTTGCTAGGTGGTTTCTCGGTATATTTCACGCGGGGATCATCTAGCCCAACTGGGTTGCAGTTTGAGAAAATCGAGGCATTTCATGGGATCCCTTCGAGGCACCACTATATAACATGTGTTTTGGCTCCTTTAACAGCACGAAAAAGGGCACGTTCAAGCAACCAAGCAATGGGGATTTGTCGCCTAAACCGAGCAGCGTCTGGGGCAGAGGAAAGCGCGGCCACCAGTAGCTCGGGAAGGGCGGCACCATGGGCGCCATGGGAGCCGCCATGGGGGCGGAAGCCATGGGAGGTGAGGACATCGGGCGCTGGCCTGGCGTCTTTCGCGCCGGTGCTTGGCTAGGTCATTCAGTAGCGAGGTTAGAAGAAGGGTACCAATTTTTTTCTGTAGTCTATTCATTCTACTTTAGTAGGGGAACCCTCCCCCAAAAGGAGATAAAAGGGCCAGCGGTTGGCTGGGGGGTGGTGAGTGGGAGGCGGATGGAAAAACCGTTCTGGAAGCCATCAGCAAAACGACGGAAACCCACAGAGAAACCGAAACGAAGGGGCGGTTGGCGGGCCAGTGGGCGTGGTTGGGGGGCCAGTGGGCGTGGTTAGACCTACCACAGCATAGCCCTCAATTCATAACATCCCGTGAACCTCAAAATCATCATTTAGGTGGGGATTCATGTCCACCAATCACTTTTGAGGTGGTTCCCTATTCAAATTCATGGCCAAATGTTTATAATATGTTTTGCACATTTCATCACACGCCACATCACCCCCGACATTCCCAGAACAGAAAATTTTATGATGAATTAAATCACAACATATAAGCATAAACGCCTCAGTTCAGACCATCTAAATTGTCCAAATGCTGTTTGCTCTTCAAATGCCTAGACCAGTGAGGTTTTTTTATCTGACATTTACAGACTTCACATTCTTTTTCAATCTGATTGTCTATATTTCTTTTTGCCATAATTTCATCATAATTTTCAGCATAATATTTCTGGCTTACCTCTAGAATTATTTGCTCTGTATCTCTTGCCATTTTCAGCGCAAACTATGCACCGAGTTTTCCCAGCAACTAATTGACTAGGAAGCTTTTTACATCTACAGGAAGTGCATTTTACTTTTTCAGGTTCGTCCATCCTTACTATAGTTTCATAACTTCCCGTTAAGTCCAGACCATCTAAAATTTCCCAAAATCCCAAAATCCCAAAATCTCAAAATTAAAATCCAAAAATATTTCACAACATAAATCTTACAATATAATTTTATTGTAGGCTTTATGGGTTAATTTACTAATACATTGTCAATCATATCCTTGAAATCTTACCCTAAAGATCATGGTAGCTTACCTAGGGTAGCTTACCCTAAAAATCATGGTAGCTTACCCGAAAAATCATGGTAGCTTACCCAAAAATATAGGGTAGCTTGCCCTAAAAATAATGGTAGCTTACCCCACAATTCAGGGTAAAGAGCAAAACTCCTCTTGAGGGCTCATTTTGGTGCCAGAAACTCAAATTCCTTAATCCGTTAAACTCACAAACATTTTAACAAATGAATCACTCGGTATTTTATATACATATTCCTGTGTAAAGAATATATCATCGTCTGTCCATGTGTCTGTATTTCCATGTTTCAGTTGCTAAATGTTTTGCATTCCTCATACTATCACAATCTCTCTTACATAAATCTCGTGGCTCCTAGTTTGTAATGTTAGTCCCTAACCTCGTTCTTTTTCTATACGGTTTTGCATATTTACAATAATGCACAACAACATAATCAAACTCATCCATAAATTAGTGTTTCTTCTATAATTTAGTTTGTGGATTTTCAATTACAAAATATGTTACATTGAACTATTTAATGATTTCAATAGTTTTTAATACTATACTATTAGCATATTCAATGATTCTTATTCCTGTAGTTTTTGCTTTGCCGTACTCCGTGAAAACTAAAACCCAATCAAGTATAGTTCAATTTATGTCAGCATTTTTCAAATCTAATGATATTACTTTAAACCCGAGCGACCTTGCAACAGTCCCGGCCAACCCACTACCAGAACATAATTCTAATAAATTCATATGATTTATTAGAATAATTTAGAAATTAATTGTCCATAAATACATATATATATATATATCGCCTTCCTTAAAAATATTATACTATTCTAATGTTAATTCCTGGGGTTGTTTGATTTGACCCTTGTTAAGCATGTCACAGTATTTCTGCCTCTTATCGTCATAACTGCCCTGAGGACGTCCTATCTGTTACTTTTCAAAAATATTATCCATCGTCTGCTTCTCTTCATTGTTGTTTTTTGGTTCGCGTTCAACTGCGTTGACATCTAACTGTTCATCAATAATCTTAACAATGTCTGTCAATGTTTTCACATTCTTACTAATAAATATAAGCTGTTTCATAAATCGTTAATGGTAAAATTTATCTGCCTGTTCAGACATTATAGATTTATTTATATAATTATCTATTTACATAGTTGTTTGTAAATATAGCTTTCCTCTAAAATATAAAACATAATAATTGAATATAGTCTAATATATAATCGTTTATTGATTTTATTTCTCATCTTTAATAATTCCTCTTCAGCTATAATTTCAGCATATTTTAACATATTGTTATAATTATCTGGTTTAGTTATACCTTTTACAAAATATGTTCCTTTGTTGTTTGCATCAAACCAACAAAACATTTTTTGTTTAATCACCATTAAACAATTTAACTATTTCTTCTTCATCCCAATGTATTATTCTTCTATCTTCACTATCTAAATATGGCATTATACTTATAATTCTAAAATTATATATGTATTTTAATATTTATTTATAAAATTGATTTAATGTAGAATCTACGCTTTATATACTAATTTACCCCCAATTCGTATTATAGTTTTTGTTCCCAAGTTTCCTCGCGTGAACTTCCGTTGTTTTCTTTGGTTCACATTGTATGAATTATTTTCTATCAACCTTCCACATTTGCACGGTAGACACTTAACATTAGCCCCATCTTTATCCACATTGATTTCATTAGTGTGATTGTCTTGTCCCATTTGTTCCACATAATGATGGTCGCTATAATCGTAATTGTCCATAGCTGTTAGTCTGTCTTCAATCGTTCTATATTTTCGCCCATTGCTTTACTAATTTATTTCTGTTCTTCTTGGTGATGTTCTATTAATTCGCTCATTTGCTCTTATTCTTCTTTCTGCTCTTCTAATGTATTTTCTATTCTTTGTTGTCCTTCTTGTTGGTCTTGTATTAATTTAACTATTTCATTTTCCGCTTCTATTTGTTCGTTAATCTTGCATTTTACCATTTGTATTAGCATTTACATTTCTATGTTTGATATATTGTATCCCTAACTTAATTAATTGCATTGTATAATAACAACAGGTGTTTTTGTAATTATTTATTATCAGATATTATTACTTGTTCGACTTTCGCTACTTCATTCATTATATCAATATAATCAGAATAACGTCCATTCATATTAGATAATAAGATAAATTATTACAATTAATCGTATTATTTCATGCATGATAGAATATTCGGGGCTCAGCAATGGGATTTCTTCGCACTGTATCAAACAAATTATCTTCAATGCGTATTGATTGAAGTAATGAACATCTGTTCCATTTATGATACCCCTATATCATAAGCGATAGTTCATACAATAATAAATATGAATAATTGTCTAAATATCTTGAATATCCAACTATGACAAGTTCCAATAATGAAACCAATAAACATAACCGATTATGAGTTCAAGCAATCTAAATACGAGCACGTGCCAAAACTACCATTTGGAAGTATTATAGTTGCTTCTTCAACAGGCGGTAAGACTGTCCTTGTTCAAGATTTAATATTGAATGTTTATAGAAATTAATTTGCAAGAATATGTATATGTTCACCCAGTGCTCAAAATGATCCTACATTTACAGAAGTAAAAAAAAACATCAGGGATGAATTACATGTGGATGATCAAAAAGAACAAATTTATTTTGACAAGTATAACCCACTTGATATAGAAAATGTAATTGAAAGACAGAAGAAATAATTGTGTATATGAAATCTAAAAAGATAAAGAAGCTACATTCAATATTAAACGTTATAGACGATCATGCCGATGATCCTGAATTCGTTAGATATAGTAAATTATTACACGGGCTTTTTACAAGAGGTAGGCATGATGCGGTAAGGGTAATTTGTTCGACTCAAAACAATGCAATGTTTTAGCGCCTATCATTCGGTTGAATGCCAGTTCATTTTATATTTTTAGGTTGACATATGCCAGTGAATTAATGAGTTTTATTGAAGAAAATAGCGCCATTGTTGATAATCAGCAACTGCTAGATATGTATCATCAAGCTGTTAATGACGCACCCTATAGTTTTATTTATGTGAATATGAACGCTCAAGACATTGACAAAATGCTTCATATCAGATTTGAACATTCTCTTAAGATTACAAATGATGAATAAAGAAACTCTAAATGAATATAATAATATGGTATTGAATCTTTGTAAATGCAGTGGTTTTTATCACACAGGAGAATTTAAGTTTCTTTGTAATTCTTGGATACATAAACTTCCTAAAGTTTTGAAACGACAACCGACAGACAATGAGTTATTAAGACTTCAAAATCGATTTTGTAATGAAGGATTTATTGAAGATGTTGAAACAATTAGCACTGATTCAACAACTATGCCTAAAGATATAGTCTTAGATGATGATTCAAATTCATATTCGTATGTTTTATTGATATTATTAATTTAAAATCATGAATAACTACACAACTTCAAAGCAGGTAATTCATAATATATCTTATCTGTTTTACATTCATTAGCTTTCTCTAATTTATTAATTATTGCTTTCAGTGAATTTGTTTGTAGAATATCAATTCTTGACATTTCACTTATCATATTTATATCTATATTTTAGTGTTTTAATAGCCTCATCATCATCAATTTCTACTGGTTTTGATTTCCTTGAACCCATTTTTTGTAATATTATTTAGATTTTATGTTTTCAATATTGTCTTTTTGTTTTTCTTCTTCTGCTTCTTCTTCATCTTCAGTTGGTACTGGTATTTCATCTGGACTTTCTGGGAGAGCAGGAAGAATATTAATGACTTCAATAGAACTACTACTGCTACTGCTGCTACCACTACTGCCACTTTGTGCATTTCCTGCACTTATGTAATTAACTAAATCTGCAATATTTAGTTGCTGCAATTGCGCTGTGTGATAAGTTTCATATTGCATCTGCTACTGTAGCGCCGTTATGTAGCATTATTTCTATCATTTTTGTCAGCTTGAATATTTTTTCTTCTTCGTCGCTGTCCTCCTCGTCTGGTGGTTTCTTCGGTGGTGGTTCTGGTGCTTTGTTGTTGTCAAGCATTGTAGTAAAGGCTGACACCATTGCATCGCGTTGGTTTTTCAGTGTTTGTGTTGCTTGTGTTCTCGTTGGTTCACTTCTTTTGTGTGTCTTGTGCCACAAGTTGTTAAGCATTATTTTAGACCTATTGTCTTGGTTTTGCTTTACCATAAACGCTTCAAATGTCACATTAAATGGCTGGTTTGCATCATTATAGAACCTTTCTTGTGTCTCTCTGGCTTCTGTAGGAATCGGATCTGTGTTGGTTGCAATGTCAATAAATTCTCTCGGTATGCCCGTTTTCATCAAAAATGTGGTTGTATTGCTGTTGGTGTGTTTGGTTTCATTAGGTTATGTATTGAAAAACTGTCGTCATCATCATACTTATCATTGAATTTATGCCTCTTTCTTTTCAGTAAATTTCTAGTTAATATAATCATGAAATATATATATTATGCTTTATTACCCTTACCCCCAAAACTTGCCTTGAGTTCTTCTATTCTACCTTTGCTTAAATTTGCAATCCATCCTCCGTTGTCAATGGTGTCTAAAATCATATCTACTAAATATTCTTTGTGTGTTCTCGCCCTGCCTCTGCCCTTGTGTTTCAATTCTTCCTGTATTTTGCTTTCTTCTGGCACTTGAACGCCTCTTAAATAGAATTGAAACTTAATATAATTTACTGTTAAATTAGGGTTGTCTTTCCAGTAAGCAGGACTAACATTATTATCCAGCGTTGTTTTGAATAATGGTATTCTCGGTAATGGTGGTGGTTCTTGTTGTTGAACTGGTGGCGCTGTTCCATAGAAACTTTCATCAACTGCTTGTGGCGATAATGAAATATCTTCTAATCCCATTGATTGAAAATCATGAGCTGTTGTTGGCGGTGCTTTCTGTTGATGCTGATATGGTGTCGATTGTCTATTACCTAGCATTCTTTCAAAAATTGTTCCGCCCATTTCTCGTAAGTTTGATGCCATTGCTTGACTCACTTCATTTACCCTTTCTTTTGTTGCTATTGCTAGTTCTTGCAGTCTTGCATCTACCACTGCCTCGTGCTGTCTTGATGTTTGCAGTAGTGTTGAAAATCATATTCTTCTGATATTGCTTCTGCGTTTCTGGTTCATGGTGTGTCAGCAATCATCCTATGAACTGCATAAGTGTGCCCGTTTCTACGCGCTTCCTGCTTCATCAATAGTTCTCTCATTTGCCTGTCTAACATTCTCATCTGTTGGTCTTTCAATAATTCTAAATGGTCGCTTCCATCAATTAAAGGACCGGATAACCCCACAAGCCTGTCTTCGAAAGTCACGCTTGCAGCTGCGTGTGATGATGGGGGGCCCACAGCCGCGCGCGCGACAACACCCCAGCCCTTTAGACAGCTCCCAAATGCTGCCCCTGCCACGCAAACGCAAGCCCAGGTGCACGAAGTACTGCGCCTGCCACGATTTCACGCTTGCATCTCCAAAGTGCTGCGAGTGCCACGCAAGATGGGGGCCCACAGCCGCGCGCGCGACAACACCCCAGCCCTTTAGACAGCTCCCAAATGCTGCCCCGCAAACGCAAGCCCAGGTACACGAAGTACTGCGCCTGCCACGATTTCAGCACTTGCACCTCCAAAGCGCTGTGCCTGCCACGGGAGATGGGGGCCCACAGCCGCGCGCGCCACAACATCCCAGCCCTTTAGACAGCTCCCAAACGCTGCCCCTGCCACGCAAACGCAAGCCCAGGTGCACGAAGTACTGCGCCTGCCACGATTTCAGCACTTGCCTCTCCAAAGTGCTGCGAGTGCCACGCAAGATGGGGGCCCACAGCCGCGCGCGCGACAACACCCCAGCCCTTTAGACAGCTCCCAAATGCTGCCCCTGCCACGCAAACGCAAGCCCAGGTGCGCGAAGTACTGCGCCTGCCACGACTTCAGCACTTGCATCTCCAAAGTGCTGCGCCTGCCACGCGAGATGGGGGCCCACAGCCGCGCGCGCGACAACACCCCAGCCCTTTAGACAGCTCCCAAATGCTGCCCCTGCCACGCCAACGCAAGCCCAGGTACACGAAGTATTGCGCCTGCCACACGAGATGGGGGCCCACAGCCGCGCGCGCAACAACACCCCAGCCCTTGAAACAGCTCCCAAATGCTGCCCCTGCCACGCAAACGCAAGCCCAGGTGCACGAAGTACTGCGGCTGCCACAATTTCAGCACTTGCATCTCCAAAGTCCTGCGCCTGCCACGCGAGATGGGGGCCCACAGCCGCGCGCGCCACAACATCCCAGCCCTTTAGACAGCTCCCAAACGCTGCCCCTGCCACGCAAACGCAAGCCCAGGTGCACGAAGTACCGAAATGCTGCCCCTGCCACACAAACGCAGCACTTGCATCTCCATGAGTGAGTGTGTGTGAGTGAGTGTGTGTGAGTGAGTGTGTGTGTGAGTGTGTGTGTGAGTAAGTGTGTGTGAGTGAGTGTGTGTGAGTGAGTGTGTGTGTGAGTGAGTGTGTGTGAGTGAGTGTGTGTGAGTGAGTGAGTGAGTGTGTGTGTGTGTGTGAGCGTGTGTGTGTGTGAGTGAGTGTGTGTGCGTGAGTGTGTGTGAGTGAGTGTGTGTGAGTGAGTGTGTGTGTGTGAGTGAGTGTGTGTGAGTGAGTGAGTGTGTGTGTGTGTGTGAGCGGGTGTGTGTGAGTGAGTGTGTGTGTGTGTGTGCGTGAGTGTGTGTGAGTGAGTGTGTGTGAGTGAGTGTGTGTGAGCGGGTGTGACTTTGTGCGGGTGAGTGAGTGAGTGAGTGAGTGTGAGTGAGTGAGTGAGTGAGTGAGTGTGTGTGTGAGTGAGTGTGTGTGAGTGAGTGTGTGTGAGTGAGTGTGTGTGAGTGAGTGTGTGTGAGTGAGTGAGTGTGTGTGACTGAGTGTGTGTGAGTCAGTGTGTGTGAGTGAGTGTGTGTGTGAGTGAGTGTGTGTGAGTGAGTGAGAGCGACGGCGAGTGTGAGTGTGTGTGTGACTGAGTGTGTGTGAGTCAGTGTGTGTGAGTGAGTGTGTGTGAGTGAGTGAGAGCGACGGGGCGGCGGGAGTCGGGCGCGCAGCGGTAAAAGTAAGAACCCCACACAAAGATGTGGGGGAAAAAACTACTTTGAGGACTTACTTTAAAAAATGTAGCATCTCTGTTAGGTAGCGTTCCTGTTAATTGTTGATTCTCGCCTATTAGACCTACAATTTCTTCATAAGTGGGGCGTCTCTTGAGTCCAAATTTTGAGTATGGATTTATCAATTTTAAACTTGCTGTAGTTGCCATATTTATTATAATAATAGTTAGATTCTTAATATTATTATTATAAAAAAAAGTAAACATCAATTGTTCCAGCTCCTTAATCCGTTTTTCTAAATGCTCCTTTGTTGAATGTGGTAGGTTTGGTCGGTGTAATGCCATTGTGAATCTGTCTAATTCATTTTGACAATTTGCTCTGGCGTGTCCTTCTTGTATATGTGTTCTAAGTGCTACTGACGCTTCTTGTGAGTTTCTTAATTTCATTTGTTCGTGTAGATGTTTTAGATATTCTGTATCTCGTTGGTCAAATGGGCTATATTTAATTTGTGAGGATTGTAAAATACTTTACCTTTATTTTTCTTCGCATTCTTGTGATGACGATACATTAATATATTTATCATAGATTTTAATTTTAATCATATAATACACTTCCCGATTCGCGTAATTCCAGAACAGACTCCGAAATCATATGCACAAATATTTATCGCGCATCTTCATCAGTTGTCAGTGCTCTGCTTTAAAAACGAGTAAGCCACCAGACTTCGTGCTGGTTCCAGTGAAATTAGTATTAAATTCCTTCTCGAATGATATGCCTATCACAGTCACCCCTTATGTGGTAGGTTAAAGGAAAACCACGCCCAGTTTCTGTCGTTACCCACAGAAACTGTCAAAATGACCCCATTTTGAGCGGTCAAAACTTGACTTCCGGACGACATGGAAAACTTAGGTGTCGTCGCCTGGTTGTTTGTTCCCAAATGGACCATAGACCTCAATTGAACCTGCCTTCCGGGACTCGTCAAAAAAAAAACGCCCCCCCCCAAAAAAAACTAAATAAAATAAATAAATGCGCAAAACCCCTTCGGCGCCCTTTGAAAAAAAATCGAACACCCCCCTCTGCCAAGCACAGCAAGGCCGGCGAGGCGAAAAACGTCCCCGGCGCTTTCGACGCACGCGGCCGGCTCGCCTGGGGCGCTCCAGGCCCAGCCGTACTGCGGCGTCCACGCACCCGGAGCCGGGCCTCGCCGCGAAGAAAAGGACACGCTGCGAGCGGGTGGAGACTCGAAACGCGGAAAAAGGGAACCGTTGCTGCGTTTGTTTTTTTGTGTGTGTGTTTTTATTGTTCGGTTGAACAAACCAACAGAAAGCAAGATTCGGAAAACTTCGACGAGTTGGTCTTTCTTTTTCTGATTGAAACACAAACAACACCCAAAATGCCAGGTTCCCGAGCTTGAAAGAAGCTTCAAGAATCACCTAGCAATTAATCTGGAAGTCGAGTGGTTGGTCTCTTGTTGGTTTGCTTTACAACAGGTTTTGAATTGACATCTGCCGTAGGGCTGCCCTTTTGATTTGTTTTTTCCCACCGAGTAGAAAAATCGGTTTCGGTGTTGCCAAATGGGTTCTCCGGTCAAAATTATCCAAAGGGTCGGTTGCTTCCCTCAACCCCTTGGACTTTAGGACTTGCCGGGACCCTTGGATGTTCATCCCGCTGAGCCTGTGGTTGGTTTTCTTTTGGCTTCCCTTCCCAAACCGAGACCCCGATTCTGAGACAAACCATGGGTCCGTCTTTGTTAAGGGTAGCCTTTTGGCTGGTTTCGAGAGAAACCACAAGGAAACCATCTATATGGAGGGTTTCCCCTATTTTGAGACAACTCCATACAGTATTAGATTGAAAGTTTAGTCGGAAGCCTTACTACAGGCCTGTAGTAGGTCCCAAGTAGAACAATGGAATATGAACTTTGTTTGCATCTCCAAGTGGACCCAACCAAATGGCTTCGCTTCAAAACGAGTTGCAACTAAGTGAGGGAATCCTCGTTTCGAGAGTCTTGGGAAGAAGCCAACAACTTATACAAACCGTCAAACCACGTTTGGGGGTCCCAAGCTTTCCTAAAGCACGCTCAACCAGGCCACAGCCCCTAACATAGGAACCAAACGGAGCTGCGTGAAGCTGCACTTGCGGCGTTCATTTTCACAACTCAAACGTGGTGGTTGCGGAATATGGTTATGGAATATGGCTCTGGTTATGGTTATGGTTATGAAAAGGTGGTCAAAGGTGTATTGGTTGTGGAGTACACTTCATTTTTTGGTGCAGCATCAAGACTATTCTAGAGAATATCATGAAGTCGCAACAAAGAAAGACGCCGCACGTGTCACTCATGTGAAGTTGACAAGAAGTGATCCGTTTAGGTCCAGATCAGGCCTTTTCAACGGCTCAACATGCTATCTTTGATGGGTCCCATTCTGGCCGTGCTTGTCTCACCTGAGTTGGTTGTGATCCATCAGCCAGCTAGAGGGGGTTGATTCCTAGCTTCGACACATACCCGATGGAAGCGATAAATGCTGTCTGAATGAAAAAGAAGACACCCCAAAATAGGGGTTCCTATGAAAAGATGTGGTTTTCCAAATAGCTCCGCCACTTTTGGACTGATCCACAAAGGGAAATGGCTCGGAACCCCTGTGAAATGTGTGAGATCAGTGCCCGGCCGAGGCGAACAAATTGCTTGCATCAAATCCATGGTTCCCGGCAATAAACTCATTCGGGGTGCCTCGTGCTTGTTTTTCAAGCGCACACTGTGGGTGGCGTCCCAGGAAAAACCACAAAAATATATGGTTGTAGGTTTTTCGCAATTTTGATGCATTCCCCAAATTCCAAGATCCTTCAGTTCAAGAGGACCCTCGTCCACTCCAACGACCCCAGCGGAAACCTCTCATCCAACCCCCTCTCCAAAGGCCCGGCGAGAGCCCCCCGCCCCCCCCCCTCCCCGGCGTCGGCCTTCCTCTCGCGCCTTTTTGGCCGGCTCCTGGAAAGAGTCAATCTAGAAAACGAATTGGAGGCGGTTTTTGTGGATTTCACCGGTTCTTCCACCTGTAGGGTTCTCTTTTAGTACTCTTTTTGCACACTTTTAGCATCCTACAAGGGTGGATCCACAAAAACCGCGTCCAAACCGTTTTCTAGAGTCGAGGCATTCGCCCAAAGTCCCAGCACCTCTATCAATTTGGTTGTGGCTCTAAATGAAACAGCTGGGTTACGCAGGTGTTGGTCCATGTTTCCACTTACCAGGGTTCCATTTTGGAACCGTTTTTTGAGCCACAGCCATTTAGCTGCAACTCAAAAACAAAAACTTGTCCAAGGCATGCGTTCTGGAGGTACCTGCTACGAAAGGAAAATGGCCCTGCCAAACCAGTTCACACCCCTGATACAAGTGCACTTGTGTGCACGTTGAATTACCTCAACTGAAAGAAACAAACAAAAACAAACAAACGAACGAACAACCAAACAAAACCAAACCAAACCAACAAACAAACAAGCAAACAAATAAACAAAATCGGATCCTATCCAATCCAGCCTATCAATCAAACAAACAAAAACGCATGGACAAATAGAAACAATAGAGTATCTAGCAGTGCAGAAACCCCACCCACCCCCCCACCCCCCCCCCCCCCACCCCCCCGCGAACCCAAAACGGTTGGCTTCACAATTAGCCTTTTGAAATCACCCGTCAAAGCGGTGACCAATCAAACAAAAACACACACACACACACACACGGCATGGATAGTAGAGTCCGTTTTGCAAACTCACACCCTCAAAGCCAAGTGTGTCTTTGCGTCTTCTTTTTTGCTTCTTGGGTTCTTTTTGTTTGGTCAGTTTGGTCGGGGAAACCAAAAGAAGAAGAAAAAAACAAAAACCCACCCACCCTTTCTGGGTTTCGAAACCCGATTTCACACTCCCGCGTCCATACGGGTTTCGGGTTTCCCGTCTCCCGGGCTCCCCGTCCTCGGCCGGCTTCGGGCCTCTGGGCCCTGGGGGCTCCGGGGCCTTCGACAAGGGCAGGTCCTCACACGCGAGCCACGAGCCGCGCGGCTGAGTCGGGGCGCGTCCGAAGGAGCCTGGTGGATGGGGGCGAACTCCGGGAATGAAGCCGTGGCTGAAACGGTGCAGAAAGCGGCCAGGGAGCCTTAGGCAAGCCGTGGCAACTGTATAACCGGGTTGTCCTTTGTGGCTACCTTGTCCTTCCCCTTTGCAGTATGGGATTCCTCGAGGTTTGTGACCGAAACTTGGGTGTCAAGGGCTGCGATCCAACCTTGCGAAGGGACCACCCTCGCAGTTCCCACCAAAAATCAAAGAGCGCGTGAAGCGGGGTGGCACCCCCCAAGAATCGGGGGGGGGGGGGTTGTGCCCCTTCTTCTTCTTCTTCTTCTTCTTCTTCTTCTTCTTCTTCTTCTTCTTCTTCTTCTTCTTTTTCGCCGTTTCTGGGTTACGCGCAGCTCCACAGTCAACCAACAACGACAAGATGACAATTTCCTCTCAGGAGTTCCTTCCTGTGGATGGACGAGATCCTGCACCACCTAAACAAAAACCCCGGAATTTGACAGAATGATCCAATTCCCTGCAAATTCCGCAGGAAACGTCCAACTGTTGGATCAGGATGGTGTTTGGAAGCCTTGGAACCTTGAACAGCCAGGTAAGAAAAACTCCGCCAAACCCCGCGATTTCGGGGAGTCCTTTGGGTCCGGTCCCCCTTTGACATGTTCCTCTAGAGCGGCGCATGAATAATTCTGCAGGCGAGTCACAATTTCGAAATACTAGACACACACCGCTCGAACTAGTCACCAACAAGTGAGCAGGAAGGAAATGGTACAGTGAGTCTTGCTGGGCGGGCCGGCACAAACAAACCCGTAGCTGACCCCGCAAACTCTTCACCACTTATGACCCTAAACCCCAAACGTGGGGGGTTTGCGGGCAAGTTAAACCCTAAACCTGAACCTTGAATGGGGCAAGTTAAGCCAAAGGCTGGACAGAGACCAGAAAGTGCAACAAAGCGGTTCTGGGCGAACCACACGTGCTGCGGGTACATATATATATATATATATACATATATATTACACATATTTCTATGATATATAGAAATACAGCTTGCATCGGGGGAAGAAAAAAAGCACGGAACATGGGGAAGCCCCCCCCGGACAAGTCGGTCGGACTCGACCATGGGCTCCATGGGCTCCTTGGAGCTCTTGGCGAGCGCCAGCAGCTCCGGCTTCTCCGTGAACGCGGGGATCCGCACTGCCCGGTCCGCCAGAAAGGACTTCAGCTCCTGAACAAGAAAAGCCAAGAAGGCCGCTGGTCGCGGCTTACTTGTTGACTTGTGTTGTTGTTGATATTTCGTTATATATATATATACAGATATATATATATATATATATATATGTGGTTTGTTGTTATGCAGTTTTATATGTGTTGTTTTTGTTGGGATTTGGGGGGTGCCCGTGTTGTTTCGTTGGTTGTTGACTTCCGGTTCACTTGGGGAGCTGAGAACCACCATAAAAAGAGCTGCCGGCCTGTGCCCAACTCAAAGGATCCAAGGCCTTCTTTCAGGGGACTTTTTCTTTGGGGGGCAGTCTCCTGCCATCCGAACAAATCGCCTGGAATCCGGGGCTTGAAATCTCCAGAGGGCTGCACCTGTGGTGTCTGTCCTACATCTGGAGGGCTCTCCATTTGAGTTGGCTAAAGGGGCGTCTCCAGATTGACACCAGAATTTCAACATGTGAGAAATCTTTGGGGAGCCCTGTTCAATTCAAGATTCAGCAGGGAATTTACCTTACCAACCAAAGGAGTGTTGCAGTCAATGGCTTCGACCGAATCAAGCACTTCATCCGAAAGAGAATCTCCTGGATGCTCATCCTTGAAAAGTCCGGGGCAATCATCCCCTGCTTCCTCTGTTTCTTCCTTTCACGTTTTCTTCTTGCCTTCTCCCGCTTGATCCATTGCTTGTGCCTGTCCTGTCAAACTGGAACGAATTCAATCCGCGCAAAGGTTGATTGGCCGGGGCGTCCCGATGATTCGCAAACTTGTGAGGTCAAAACAAGTTGGAACTTGAATCTGAACCTTTGTGTCCCAGGTCCGTGTCCTCCCGCTCTTTCCGCGCTGCCGCTTTCCGCTCTTTCTTCTCTCTCTGCTTCCGTCTGGCCTCCTGTTCTTTCGCCTTCTGACTTGTTTGCGGATTCTTCTTCTTTTTTGCCTCCGCGGAAATAGAAACTGGGATTCTTCAAAGCCCCGAACCTCTGCCCCTACAAACAACATGGGAATTTGGTCTATGGCAACGAACAGCTGTGGCCACCCAACCATCCCCGCAACCCAAAAGCCCCGCTCCTTCACACTCATCTTGTCAAAGTCCAGCTCTGCGTTCTCCTTCTCTTCCTGCTTTGGCTGACCCTTCCCCTTCTTCGATTTCTTGTTCTTCTTCTTCTTCGTGGGGAGAGCAACAAGCCCAGGCGGGAGCGGCGTGTCATTTCGTTGCACAATAATCTTTCTCTTTTGCTCCTGGAGAAACGGAATCTTTCTCTTTTGCTCCTGGAGAAGCTCCTGCTTTCTCTTTTGCTCCTGGAGAACCAAAAAAGCGGCACAAACGACTACGGAGGAAGCTACGTCCATGCACTTTGTGGTGTCGCGTGGCGATTTGGCTTGGCAGGGATTGGCGGTTTGGATTGGTGGATTGGGTTATCCCATTTGGTTCATGAAGAGGGACTAGGGGTTCAAATCCAAACCAATGAAGGGTTGCCGTCAGGTTCGCCATGGGGAGAGGAAAGTCTCACTGCATTCAGCCAATCCCTCGCGCAGCCCGAATATCCTGGCCTCATCACCCTGTCATGCACCCGTCCACGAAAAAAAAAGATGGGTTCAAAAAAACAAGAACCACATCACCAGAAGGCCTTTGTTACAAAACAAAGTCACAAGCTTTGGACGGATGTCACATTCCCCACAGCCCCCTAACTTGAGAACCGGCTTTTTCCTTCGCGCCCCGTCCGGGCAAATTGGGCTGGATGGGCTTGGGGAATGAACCGGGGAACTTCCGGAAACCATAGGATGGATGTGTGTGTGTGTGCGTGTTTTGTTTTTTGTTTGTTTGTTTTTTTAAGGGGTGAAGGACCCTCGATGTTTTTGTTTTTTTTTTTGTGTGTTTTTTGCTTCTTCTTTTGTTTAATAGGGGTGAAGGACCCTCTCTCCCTGAGAACCAACCAGTCAGATTTCGAAGCGAGATCAAAGGCAGCCCTTGGCAAATTTCAGAGGAGAGCAACTTGTGCCGTCCAAAGAAAACTGAACATGACAAACTTGTGCCGTCCAAAGAAAACTGAACATGACAGCCCGAAATATTACAACCGACTAAAAGGAGCCACCCGTGGTGGCAGCTAATCACAAGGAAGCTCACAACTCGGCAATGAAAAGGTGGCCGTGTTCACGTGGAAACAAAAAAATGCTGAGGCACAGTGTCAACTTGCATGTTGAAGCCCATTCTCCAACGAGTCGCCTCTAGCGGACAGCCAACAACGAATAGCATTCACTATCAGCGACTTGCTCTCACTTCAGGTGTCACTTACATTTACTCCCAGCTTCAAATCAACGACACACCCATATGACAGAGAAACCCCATTGACTTTTTGGTTCTGTTCAGATGCACAAAAGAAGGGCCTGGTTATTGGCACTTAATCCCACACAACTGGCTAACCGAAGCCAGGGAAGAATGGACAACATAGTATAACACGAAGAAAAGAGAAAGAAGAAAAAAAAGGAGAAGGAGAAAAAAAAAAAAAAGAGGAACAAAAAAAAGAAGAGGAGAAGGGGAAGAACAAGAAAAACGACCGTGTTGGTGGTTGAAATCTGTTTCATGTGTTTCCTCGATGGGACCCATCGCTCAAACCCTCCGACCCAAGAAATCTCAGCTGGCCTTGGGCTCGTCGGCCTGGATTCGCGCGCTCGCCGCGGCTCGGCCACGCCCGCGCTTTCTTGGAGTGAGCAAGTTCCTATACAAACGTGGTAGCTGGTTTATGCCTTTATATGAGTTTTATATAGGACTGATATAAGAGTTCTAGAAAAAGCCTATAAAACCCATTTAACTAGCTTGAACCCCCGGGTTTGGTGGGTTTAGCACATTCTTACCAGCACGTCTGTGAAACAAACAACGAAATGCATGTGTATTATATATATATATATGCTACCCCCCCCCCATGGATCCAACCTTTTCGGTGTTTGAAGGCTATTTCGGAGATGGAATGCAGTTGTTTTAGTTGGAATGCCCCACGCGACTTGACCAGCATCAGCTCACACTAAGCAGGAAATCCTGTTCAAAATCTAATTTGGAATAACAATTCCAATGATGTGTTGTTGTTGTTGTTGTTGTTGTTGTTGTTGTTGTTGCTGCTGCTGCTGCTGCTGCTGCTGCTGCTGCTGCTGCTGCTGCTGCTGTTGTTGTTGTTGTTGTTGTTGTTGTTGTTGTTGTTGTTGTTGTTGTTGTTGTTGTTGTTGTTGTTGTTGTTGTTGTTGTTGTTGTCGTTGTTGCACAGGAAATCCTATTTAACTTATCTTTTCACTCAGAGATTCTACTAGAACTATGTCCTTATTAGATTGCATTCAATTCTAAATAGAAAGTGGACAAACAATTTCCCGGGAAAGGGCGTTCTCTGCAAAATATACGTTGAAGTAAGAATCCCAATTAACTATGCTATTCAAAATGGAAATAATATTCAGATCATCTTTAAGCCTAGACAATATATCACATGTAGTTCACTTTAAATGTCTATTAAAAGTCTAGTTCAAAACATTGGACGAGTCACCTTGAAAAAGACATCCTTTCGAAAATCTAATTTTGAAAAAGACATTCTTTTAGGAACATCCATGTAAACTTTCTTTAAACCTAACATTTCCAATAGAATGATGCCTTTATTAAATTCTATTGACACTATGGAAAAAAATAACCCGTTTGAACATCTCAGTAGCTTCAAACAAGAATGTTGATTATAAATCTTGTTCGACCAGGAAATCCTACTTAAATTATCTGTAAACTAGAAAGCGAGAGAGAGAGAGAGAGAGAGAGGAGCGACCTGACGCACGCCGCGGCCTGACCCTTGCTTCCCTCCCAGCATCTCAGGGTGACTCCACTTGTATCTTTAAACTAGAAGCTCTTACTGGGGTTTGTTCCTTATTAAGCTCCATTTCAATTCCAATTCGAAAATTGAACAAACACAATCCCAGAAAGAGATCCCCCTTTAAAATGATCTTTCAAATCTATTTTGAGACAAGAATTCCAACTGTTTGATGTGCTAAGCATTCTCGAATACTTTGAATTCCAAGCAAAAAAACGATAAAACACAGGGAGTTTATTTGAACAAAAAGCATGTGTCCAATGAAACTACTTGAGCAAACATCTACGAGAAAGATGCCCGATTCCTACAAACGCAAGTCAATAAACCCAAGAACCTACACCATAAACCTGTCCATTCTAAGCTGAGGTTTGGTCAGAAGATGCAAAACAGCAGCTATGTTGGAGCCAATAACCCAAAAGTGGAAACTGAAAAACACGTAAAATTATGGAGCTAATAGACCAATTAAGTACAGCCTAAAATTCTAGCCAATGACCCAAAAGCAAACAAGTAAAAAGAAATCTGGAGCCAATGCCCCACAAGTCAAAAGAACAAATTTTTGGAGCCAGAGACCCAAAAGTAAAAAAAAAATAATAATAAAAAAAATAAGTAAACATACATGTCTGGCAGCAAAAGTACAAAAGCCAAAAAGTAAAAAAAGAAGGAGAAAGGAGCAAAAACAAAACAAAAAATGTAAAAGTAAGAAGCTAAAGAAGTAAAAGGGTAACACACAAAAGTACACAGGTAAAAAAAAAGGAAAGTAAAACAGCAAAAAAAAGAAAGAAGAAGAAGCCCCTGGTCCTGAAGTAAAATGCTTTGACCATGAACTGAAACATGTTACTTCATTACTCTTCTACGTTGTTACTGGTTTGTTTTTAATATATATATATATATATATATCTGTATTTATTTTTTGTTGACGATGTTACTTATTCTACTTTGTTTTTTATCTGCTTAGTGACTTGCTTTTACCTTTTGGGTCATTGGCTCCAGCATCTTACTTTTGTATTTGTTTTACTTTTGGGTCATTGGCTCCAGATTTTGACTTGTTCTTCTTGTTTACTTTTGGGTAATTCTTGATGTTTTCACTTTCGGGCCGATGGCTCCAACATAGCTGTGCTTTGAATTTTCTGACGAAGCCTCAGCTTAGAAATAGGACAGAGGTACATTCAAACTGGATTCAAGATTCCCTGGAAAATTTGGCCTAAAGCTGTCAGATTGTCTTTGGCAATGCGCCCTTTTTGCTGCTTTCCCCATAGCGCTAAACAAGGCAGAAAACACTGCACATGCCAGTCAATTCTGAAGGAAGGTAGGTCCATGGGAAGGGCGTACCATTATATATATATACAACCCGGACCCTGGTTTTACTGCCTTTTGGGGATGGTAAGTCTAGAATCTCGAGATTTAAACTCTCAAAATGTCCAGTTGTGGGTCCCCAAAGCCTCATAATTTGGAGCCCGGAGTCCTCCAACATGTCTCAATATGATACCCTTTCCAAATAGGATTTTACTTCAACTAGAATTGGAATTCTGAATATAGGTTAGCAAGGATGTAGTTTTCAAAGATGTGTGTATGTTCAATTACAGCTTAAATAAGCAAATCCCTTCCAAATATGATCTACATGACAATGTACATGTAGTTCCGGGTAAACTACAATTAACTCTTTAACAAAGTAGTTTAAATAGGAGTTGATTCCCAAATATATAATCTAAGTGTTTAATATAATCTAATACGAATACAATTCAAGTAGCCATTGATAAACACAAAAAAAATAGACACTACTTCTCAAATATAATTCATATTGGATATGGCACACATTTAAGAGGCTTCTACAAGGAAAATCGAAATACGATTTGTGGTTTTTACATTCTGGACCTTTTGTAGAATAAGAAACGTCCGAAATTGAAGTTGTTAGACGGTGCTCCAAAGGGAAATTTAAAGAGAAGAGAGGTTCAAATTCTAAAACAATCTCGAAACAGGAAGTCTAGCTAAATCAGTGCATTTAAACTTCTATTTGCACAGGAAAGCAAAATTCATTATATCTCAAAAGGTGGAGGTAGTACATGAGGAAATGTGGACAGGTACTTCAAGAGGGGGGGTAACGGGGTGTAAACATACATATTTATATATACACATACCTACACATACATAGTTTACATTACACTACACTACACTACATTACATTACATTACATTACATTGCATTACATTACATTACATGCATTACATTACATTACATTACAGTACATTACATTACATTACACTACATTACATTACATTACATAACATAACATAACATACATACATTATACATACATACATACATACATACATACATACATACATACATACATACATACATACATACATACATACATACATACATACATACATACATTATACATACATACATACATACATACATACATACATACATACATACATACATACATACATACATACATACATACATACATACATACATACATACATACATACATACATACATACATACATACATACATACATACATACATACATACATACATATACATACATACATACATACATACATACATACATACATACATACATACATACATACATACATACATACATTACATACATACATACATACATACATACATACATACATACATACATACATACATACATACATACATACATACATACATACATACATACATACATACATACATACATACATACATACATACATACATTACATACATACATACATACATACATACATACATACATACATACATACATACATACATACATACATACATACATACATACATACATACATACATACATACATACATACATACATACATACATACATACATACATACATACATACATACATACATACATACATACATACATACATACATACATACATACATACATACATACATACATACATACATACATACATACATACATACATACATACATACATACATACATACATACATACATACATACATACATACATACATACATACATACATACATACATACATACATACATACATACATACATACATACATACATACATACATACATACATACATACATACATACATACATACATACATACATACATACATACATACATACATACATACATACATACATACATACATACATTACATTACATACATTACATTACATTACATTACATTACATTACATTACATACATACATACATACATACATACATTACATACATACATACATACATACATACATACATACATACATACATTACATTACATACATACATACATACATACATACATACATACATACATACATACATACATACATACATACATACATACATTACATACATACATACATACATACATACATTACATACATACATACATACATACATACATACATACATACATACATACATACATACATACATACATACATACATACATACATACATACATTACATACATACATACATACATACATACATACATACATACATACATACATACATACATACATACATACATACATACATACATACATACATACATACATACATACATACATACATACATACATACATACATACATACATACATACATACATACATACATACATACATACATACATACATACATACATACATACATACATACATACATACATACATACATACATTACATACATACATACATATACATTACATACATACATACATACATACATACATACATACATACATACATACATACATACATACATACATACATACATACATACATACATACATACATACATACATACATACATACATACATACATACATACATACATACATACATACATACATACATTACATACATACATACATACATACATACATACATACATACATACATACATACATACATTACATACATACATACATACATTACATACATACATACATACATACATTACATACATACATACATACATACATACATACATACATACATACATACATACATACATACATACATACATACATACATACATACATACATACATACATACATACATACATACATACATACATACATACATACATACATACATACATTACATTACATACATACATACATACATACATACATACATACATACATACATACATACATACATACATACATACATACATACATACATACATACATACATACATACATACATACATACATACATACATACATACATACATACATACATACATACATACATACATACATACATACATACATACATACATACATACATACATACATACATACATACATACATACATATACATACATACATACATACATACACATACATACATACATACATACATACATACATACATACATACATACATACATACATACATACATACATACATACATACATACATACATACATACATACATACATACATACATACATACATACATACATACATACATACATACATACATACATACATACATACATACATACATACATACATACATACATACATACATACATACATACATACATACATACATACATACATACATACATACATACATACATACATACATACATACATACATACATACATACATACATACATACATACATACATACATACATACATACATACATACATACATACATACATACATACATACATACATACATACATACATACATACATACATACATACATACATACATACATACATACATACATACATACATACATACATACATACATACATACATACATACATACATACATTACATACATACATACATACATTACATACATTACATTACATTACATTACATTACATTACATTACATTACATTACATTACATACATACATACATACATACATACATACATACATACATACATACATACATACATACATACATACATACATTACATACATACACACATACATACATACATACATACATACATTACATACATACATACATACATACATAGATACATACATACATACATACATTACATACATTACATTACGTTACTTTACATTACATTACATTACATCACATTACATTACATTACATTACACTACAGTACATTACGTACATGCATACAGAAATATATATATATATATACATGTATAGAGTACCCCTGATGATGATCCTGCGCCTCTACATAAAATACGGCAAACTACTGTGTTTTTGAGCATTACACCTACCTTTTCTTACCTCCTGGAAATGGGTCAACATGAGCATGGCCGACATGAAGCAAACTACTCACCAAAAGCACTTGAACATTTGTCTTACTAAAAACTTGAAAGTATTTCCACTGGATCGCTAAGCACTGGAGCATATTTCATCACTGGATGGTAAAATTCAAGATTCAAGATTACACAGAAAACGTTCCTGAGAATTGTCAATCCTGGCCACACCCCAACAACATTCAAGCTCCTCTAACACTTGGAAGTGCGTTACCACTGGATTGAAGATTCAATATTGAGGATTGCACAAACAACAACTTTCCTGAGAACCATCCATCCTGAGGTCAACCCCTAAAAATGTTTAAGTTGTTCTAAAACCTCGAACGTATTTTACCACTGGATTGAAGATTCGAAATTGAAATGTTTGACGGAAAGCGTTTCCGAGAATCTTATTGAACACCGAGAGTATTGGGACAAACCTGGATTTTAAAAAATTCGGAAAAAATATATGGGATTCAAGATTCAAGATTCAAGATTCCCAGAAAATATGCTCTCAGATTCTTGAATCTTGAATCCAGGATTTAGAAAAGGGGGTACATACCCAATCAGGTCTGTAGGAAACTTCTCTAGTATAAGTCGGTGAAAACACAGGGTGTTGCCGCAAGTGACCCGAATCCCCTCTAAACTGGGTACAATATTGGGTGTTTGCTTGGAGAAAAAGAAGGGAAGCACCAATTTGGGGGATCCCCCAAAAAAAGAAACACCCATATTTATGGGGGATGTGTGACGGGGATCCTGGCTTTTCCTCTGAGGTACGGAACGAGGATTGGTTCTCCAGGCTTCTGCGGGGGTGATGTTCCTTCCGCCGAGCCTGCAGATGCTCTGCAGTGGAACGCGACGGGCGCGCGGAGACAGCTCGAAGCTTCTGCTTTCAGAGCAAATGCTCTGCATGGTTGGAACGTGACGGGAGCGCTCGGAGCTTCTGCTTTTTGAGTCTCATCCGTCGTGCTTTCTTCTCTTTTCGGAAGCGATCCATTAGATTGATCCGAGCTGATCCCTGTCCGGGGGTGAATGACCTTGGGAAGTTGACGTTCAGTCGACCAAAATTTGGATGACCCCCTTCGACGAAGCCAAAAGGCTTGGCTTGGGTGGAGAGTATGCCATGTTTAGCAGAAGGTAGTCCAAAAGGGCCGGCCATCCTTTTGGATTGCCTTTGATAACCCACAAAGAGTGTAGAGTCCAACCAAAGGCAAGTGCGGCGGCTGGATGCCCAACGGTTGGTTCGCCACCTAAATGTGCTTCTTTAAATAAACAGTGTCATTCAATATGTTTAAAAATCGTACACTCCAAAATGACCTTACCAGAAACTTGAACAAATTATGCAAAAAGTTGTGGGTAGATGAATTACCCCAAGCTGTTGCTCCCCCACCCCAACCCCACATGACATGCTTAGATTCTGGTCCATCCATCTGGATAGAATCTAGATCCAACCTCCAACTTAGACATGTGATATGATGTCATTTGCGGGTTTCACAAGTTTGCTGCGGGTGAGAACTGCAAAGTTCTCAGCTTCCCTCGAAAAGGGTTTGGTTTGGTTGGACGATAGAAATGAGGTACCTTTCCGATGTCTCAAATCATCAAATCCAAAACACAGGGTTTCGTGAAGTTCCTCATAGGCTTGTCCCATCCAATTCGGCCGAAAACGGTGAGTGGACTTCCCACGTCTACCCGGCAAGGGGTCAAGTTGCAATGTCACACCCATGGTGCTTCTCAAAAGATTACTTGGGATCTGGTTTCTTAAACAAGAAAACACCAGAAAAAATGGAGAAAAAAGAGAGAGCGAGAAAAAAAGGAAGAAAAAACACGACTCCGTTGGGGCACATCTCCTCCCATGTTCCGCACGAAATAAGACGCTCCCCGCTCTCCGCTCTCTCCGCCTCCGCGGGGCGCTTCACGCCGCGGACCTCGGCCTCGGAGTCCGAGTTGTTGGCCTGGCGCCAAAGCCCAAGCGACGCCGTAGGAATCGACGCCGTTGTCGGTTTTCTTAGTTTTCTTGCAGGGCATCATTCAAAAAAACACGGGTCTCCAGCAATCAATAGAAATACGAATACATTTGGCGTGTCTTTTGGTTGTTTTAAAGATAATTCAGAAAACTGGCAGGTCTCGGTCCTCTTGGTGTGTCCCTTAACCAAGAAGGGGTAGCCTCCAAAAAAGACAGACCCGAACGCGAACATGTTCCAGAGACAAGCCCAGGAGCCATAGGTTCATCAACTCGGTGTAAAAACCGCAATTCAGCATGTGCGAGATAACTCAGACCGAGATTGAAAAAATATTCTTTGGTCAACACCGTTCTTGGCTTCTTTGGCTTTGTCTTTGGTTTTGGTTTCGCTGTCGTTTGGTGTTCCTCGCTTTTGGCCGAGACCTCCCTCCCCAGCGCCCGGGCCTTTCGGGCCCTAATAGCCCTTCCAGGCCTTTTGCAGGGGATTTTTGCTTCTAGGCAAGGCTACTGCTAAAACTGCTAAAACTGCTACTGCTATTGTGCTGCTACCACCACAGCTACTGCTACTGCTACTGCTACTGCCACTGCTACTGCCACTGCTACTGCTACAAGTGCTACAACTGCTACAACTGCTACAACTGCTACAACTGCTAAAACTGCTACTGCTATTGTGCTGCTACCACCACAGCTACTGCTACTGCTACTGCCACTGCTACTGCCACTGCTACTGCTACAAGTGCTACAACTGCTACAACTGCTACAACTGCTACAACTGCTACAACTGCTCCAAACTGCTACAACTACAACTGCTACAACAGCTAAAACTGCTAAAACTGCTAAAACTGCTAAAACTGCTACTGCTATTGTTCTGCTACCACCACAGCTACTGCTACTGCTACTGCCACTGCCACTGCTACTGCCACTGCTACTGCTACAAGTGCTACAACTGCTACAACTGCTACAACTGCTACAACTGCTACAACTGCTACAACTGCTACAACTGCTACAACTGCTACAATTGCTCTGCTAAAACTGTTAAAACTGCTACTGCTATTGTGCTGCTACCACCACAGCTACTGCTACTGCTACTGCTACTGCCACTGCTACTGCCACTGCTACTGCTACAAGTGCTACAACTGCTACAACTGCTACAACTGCTACCACTGCTAAAACTGCTAAAACTGCTATTGTGCTGCTACCACCACAGCTACTGCTACTGCTACTGCTACTGCCACTGCTACTGCCACTGCTACTGCTACAAGTGCTACAACCGCTACAATTGCTACAACTGCTACAACTGCTAAAACTGCTAAAACTGCTACTGCTATTGTGCTGCTACCACCACAGCTACTGCTACTGCTACGGCTACTGCCACTGCTACTGCCACTGCTACTGCCACTGCTACTGCTACAAGTGCTACAACTGCTACAATTGCTACAACTGCTACAACTGCTAAAACTGCTGAAACTGCTACTGCTATTGTGCTGCTACCACCACAGCTACTGCTACTGCTGCTGCTACTGCTACTGCTACTGCTACTGCTACAAGTGCTACAACTGCTACAACTGCTACAAATGCTACAACTGCTACAACT